CGACAGCACGAAGAGAAGTTGCCTTTATGCCGCGATGTCTGAATTTGCTATCCCCGCGAAACTAATATGGCTGTGTAAAATGACGTTGAGCAATACCACCAGCTCCGTCAGAATAGGGAAGGACCTCTCCGAGCCGTTTGATACCAAACGAGGTTTCAGACCAGGGGACTCCCTTTCGTGTGATTTCTTTAATCTTATGTTGGAGAAGATAATAAGAGCCGCAGAAATGAACCGCTCAGGCACAATACTTTATAAGAGCGTACAATTGCTGGCGTATGCCGACGACATCGATATTATCGGTAAAAACAAGGGCTACGTAGGTTCTGCCTTCTCGGGATTGGATAGAGAAGCAAAGCGAATGGGTCTGGTGGTGAACGAGGACAAAACGAAGTATCTCCTGTCATCACAAAAACAGTCAGAGCATACGCGTCTTGGCACCCACGTCACTGTTGACAGTTACAAGTTTGAAAAAGTAGACGACTTCGTTTATTTGGGAACCAGCATTAACACCAATAATAATGTCAGCCTTGAAATCCAACGGAGAATCACTCTTGCCAACAAGTGCTACTTTGGGCTGAGTAGGCAATTGAGAAGTAAAGTCCTCTCTCGTCGTACAAAGATCACACTCTATAAGTCACTCATCATGCCTGTGCTGGTGTATGGCGCGGAAGCATGGACAATGAAAGCATCTGATGAGGCGGCTCTTGGAGTTTTCGAGAGAAAGATTCTGCGAAAGATTTACGGACCTTTACGCGTTGGTGATGGCGAATATCGCAGACGATTTAACGATGAGCTGTATGAGCTTTACAACGATATAGACATAGTGCAGCGAATTAAAATTCAGCGGCTCCGCTGGCTTGGCCATGTCGTTTGGATGGACAGAAACGCTCCTGCTCTGAAAATATTCAACACGGGCCGCGATGCTGGTAACAGAGGAAGAGGAAGGCCTGCGTTGGAAAGACCAGGTGGAGAAGGACTTGGCTTCACTTGGCATTTTCAATTGGCGTCAGTTAGCACAGAAGAGAAATGAATGGCGTGTTGTTTTGGACTCGGCCAAAATCGCTTAGGCGGTTACAGCGCCAATTAAGAGAAGAGAAGAAGTGAATTATCTTCAGTAGTTACTAAACTATCGCAGTTTTCGTATTTATGGAAATTCCCGTTATATGGGAAGTGGGCGTGGTTATTGTCCGATTTTTAAAATTTTCGGCCAGTTAGTATGCTGTATCAAGGCCAACAACTGTGCAAAGTTTGGAATAAATTGATGCAGCGGTTACCAAGATATACACATGTAACCATAAGTGGGCGTCGCAACGCCCATTTACAAAAAATGTTAATATTCTTATTTTTCGTCTAAAATTTATTACAAATATCAATTTTGAGTGAATTATCTTCAGTAGTTACTAAAATATCGCAGTTTTTGTATTTCTGAAAGTTACCGTTATATGGGAGGTAGGCGTGGTTATTGTCCGATTTTGCCCATTTTCAATACCATCCGTCCTACGGCAGAAAGAAGTGCACATACCAAGTTTCGTTAATATATCTCAATTTTTACTGGAGTTATCGTGTGCACAGACGGACGGACGGACAGACAGTCACCGCTTAATCGATTTCTCTTTTCATCCTGATCATTTATGTATACATTTGTCTATATCTATCTCGATTCGTTTTGCCTGTTACAAACAACCGTTATGTGAACAAAGTTATAATACCCTTGTGCACAAGTGCGCTCGGGTATAAAAATGTGTATGTATCTTAACGCATGCAATTTTTAGAATGTGCCATTTGAGTGTGATGAAAGCAGTAAAATTTTGGAATTGTTAGAGAAAATTTCGAACGACTTGAATGCTGTTAAAAATTCGAGAGAATCTTCGCCTTTACCTCAGTCGTCATGTGGTTGCATAGACAGTGGGAGCTTAATTGAACTTTTAAAAAGTACCGTAAAAGGCCAGCTTATACTCCAGTATCAGGAAGAAAAAGGTTTCCTGGATGCCAAACACCAAAACACATTGTGCCAATGCATTATTGAAAAATATATTGGAAGCCAAAAAAAGCCGGTAAGTTGTAAGAAATTATTGGAACCACTCTAATCTACATACGTACATAATCATGCAGCTAGCACACTTTTTTTTTAGTATATTTGCAGTAATTTACACACACTTATTTCTTTTTTTTTCAAGTATAGTTGATTTTTTGGAATAAACCAAATAGAGTGAAAATTAAATTCTTAGTGAAGGGTTACACTCAAATTCTAGGAGCTACAAAACTGCATATTTTTATAAAAAATTGACGAAATAAATGTATCATATAAAACATTGCAAATATACTAAACAAAAGTCTGCTAACTCCGTACCAACAAACTCCTTCAAAAAAATCCCACAGGAAAGTTGTTTTCTCGATGGGTCAATTCAGATAAAAGCAACTATAATTTTCCGAAAAAATCGAATACCCAAGATCTACAAGCAATTTCGGCCAGCGGTAAAAATATATTTATTATCTGTATTTACATTGTATACTTATTTCATAATGTTTAGATGACTACGATGCATATTACGAAAAGAAGTGCTGGCTGCAAAATAATTGCACTCCATGGGAAAAAGTTCTGGCTTACTGGAGAGAGACTTCCGGTCAAAGAATTAAAGATTTGTATGATGCCACTTCTCTGATCTGTATTTTTAATGAATGGCCCCGTTACAAAGATTTTCATGGTTATGAACTTGTAAGTTACTATAATTTAAAGTTCTTAATTTTTTCAAGTCGCAAATCACACAATATTTTAAATCAATTTTCCATAGGTGGAGATAGACTTTGAAACGCTTCATCCTGGAAAGGGAAATATGATCTTTTTAAAGCTGGAGACATTTTACAAGCAAATTTTTAAAATTTTCAATACAGATATTAAAGACCGCACTTCGAGGGAACTCTTTTTAAAGTATTTGCATATCGACAACATTTCGAAAGGTAAAGCTGTTTATCAAAACACATTATGAAATAATATAAGGTAAACCAGGCACTTTCATATACGGCTAGAAATTCGCTATTTGTTATATATGTACACTAGCCGATGCAAGCAGACTTGTTTTTCATTTAACTGTTTTAAATTTTTTTATTACCAATCCTTAGTTGTGTTTCAATAAAAAGTAGCCCAGAACGTATTAGAATATAAAATGGAAAAACGCACATCTTCAAAAAGTGAACATCATTGCTATCTGAAATACCTTATATTATTTCACTTTAAAAAAATATAATGTTAAGTTAATTATTTATGGCTTTTTTTAACAGACTGTAAATATTGTATATGTACAATTCTGCTGCACGCTTTACTAAAGCCTTCGCGTCTTAATAAGGACAACAAACCAATAATAGCTGATGGTCAAACAGACTTCGTAACACTCGTGGCAACTCGCAATGATATTCAACCTACACTTATCGAAATAAAAAACCAATTTTTAATAAGGAAAGAAAAACTGCAGCCACGAATTATCGTAGTTGGATCGGATTTTTCGTCAATTTCAGAGTTTTACGTTTTTTGCGATGGCCTGCAATGGAAATGTACTTCATATATGAAGTGTGTTGACGTCATCATTAAGCTTTCGTATGTTTATAAAATGGAATATTCCCAAAGAAGCAAGAAAGTATGGGCATTCTTAGAGCAGTATTTTTTTGAGTTAAAATCTGAAGAATTTTCTTCAGTGGCAAATCTTTTGAGTAAATTGAATTAACTTCGTCTGATGTTTTTATTTTAAATGGCCAGTTTTGCTTGCTTTATTTGTAGGAGAACTCACTTAAATCCTTTAGAGCTCATTAATCATTTAAAATCAGTACATGGTACTCCCACAGTTTATAAATTTCAATGTTACGAATACAATTGCAAAAAAAATTTTTACAACATTCATAGATTTAAAGTTCATCTCAAAAAACATTTAAAAGTAGAAATTGATCATCGCCAGTCTTGTAACGATAACCCAACTATTCATAATACCCCAGAAATTGGATCTTCGGCAAATCAAATTATGCCGATGCAAAATGGTACATTTTTAAAAGAATCAATGGTCTCATTTTTACTTCAACTGCACTCTAATACCAACCTTTCCCGTAAGGACGTTTCTGAAATTCAAAATTCCGTAGCAGAGTATATTACAACCCCAATTTGTAAAATATTAACATCATTTAGTAATATTAATCAAAATAACTTTTTTTTTGGAGGAAGTAATTCAAAATATTTCTCAACCATTTTTCGATTTAAGTACGGAATACAAATTTTTCAAAGAAATAGAAAAACAAGGTCTGTATAAACCTCCGCAAAAGTATATTATTAGCGATGAACTTTCAGAAGTTGTACTTAATAACAATCCTACTTTAACATCAGCAAAAACCGAGATTACACTTTCAGACATTCCTTTTCAAATAAAAAAATTTTTTGAAAGTGTGTTATGTAGCTGCGTATTTGTACCCGGCGAAGCGGCATGCAGGCACGCTTGCATCCCAAGCTAGCTCGTCGGTTGGGGGGGGGGTTGTCATTTCCGCCTGCCTTGGTAGTCGCTACACAAACAAAAAGTTAATCGTGCCTGGTGATACGGAGAAATACAAGTGCGGATGGTCACAAATAACAAAGAGAAATAAGAAGATGAGCAAGAGAAAGCACTACAGGTAAATGGTCCAGTCCCGTCCTGTCAGGTGGAGTCATCCCACCCTTCTTCTGCGTGAACTCCACGCGAAACCTTGGGCGTTGTCGTGACTCCTCACCTTCTTACAACGCCCCCTAAGCCTGACACACGTCCGTCTAACAATCAGTCAGTCATTTCACCTCAGTTGTCGTTGCGTCTTCACACTCCCTCTTCCCCTCTGTTGCACAAGTGCAACACCCACACCAAAAACTT